GAGACTGGGACTTCGAAACTTTGATCCATCATACATTTCTTGCTATGAATTTGTACTTCTAACGTACACTGCTATTCCTCCTACAAATCCTTTTGATTTTTGATTTTCAAACTATTTATATAAATTTTGATTCCTCCGAGATGGTCAGAGTAAAGTTGTTTTGAGAAAGAACTTCAGCCAAATTTGAAGCCGCTTGAACGATGTTCTTCAAATCGGCTACTGCGGTAGCTGCAATGCTAGGAGGTTCCCTTGTGGAAGCTCACCTAGTCATGGTCGACCCCGTCCCCTACAACTCAGACCCATAAAATAATTCTCCTCTAGATGCATCTGGAAGCAACTTCCCGTGCAAGATAAAGGGCAATTATACTGTGGTCAAGGAGAACTATATGATGAAGGGTGAGAGCCAGTCCATGATATTCCATGGTGGTATTACCCATGGTGGCGGCTCTTGCCAAATCAGTATTACGCCGGATCGTGCACCTAGCAAAGACAATAAATGGAGCTTCATCAAGTCAATTGAGGGTGTATGGATGAGACCGAGAGCGACGTCAACATGAGCAACAGTCCAACAATGGTCACTCCTTTCTCACCCAACTTCACCATCCCTGACAGCTTCAAAGCGGGCGAGTATACAATTGCCTGGACCACGTTCAACCGTCTCGGTAACCGCGAAATGTACATGAGCTGCCCCTATAACGATCACCGAAAGCACCTCTTCTTCAAAGAGATCCTGGGCTGCTGAAATTGAAAAACGCTCACCGGAGGACTTCCCTCCCCTATTCATTGCCAACATCAACGGCTGCTTGACTAAGGAGTCGTACGATATTCGTTTCCTTAATCCCGGCAATACAATTAAGTATCTTGGGCTTGAAAAAAACCTGATTGGACTTGATGACGACGTTTGTTACATTGGTTCGGCTACCTGGGGAAAAGGAGGTTATAGTACTACTGGGGACTCTGTTCTTTCGGCTAAAGCTTTCACTTCCACCAAGTCTTCCACCACAGCTACATATCTCAAGTCTTCTACTGGGACTGGGAGTACTGTAGAGTCCTTAGCAAGCGGGTCGCTCATCTCGAATTTGGCGAATTACACCACTGAATTTGCAAGCTCTACCAAAACCGGCCCGATCACCCCCAATTCCGTCGTTTCCGCGGGAAATCCTACGGTCCACGGCCCCAATTGCCCTATTTCTGTCTCCGCCCCCAGCTCCAGTACGCTTGCCGGATCATGTCTTGAAGAAGAGATTTGGAACTGCATAGGAGGCACTTTTTGGCAGCGCTGTGCTGGAGGTATCTGGACACCTAAACAGCCGATGCCTGACGGTACTGAGTGTACTTCCGGCCTAAGCCAAGATTTTTCCATCGAGAGTGCGTCTTCCAGGTCCCAGAAGAACTAGCATTCCAAGCCTCACAGACATGGTGCCCGAGGGCATTCTCAGAAGTCTTGCAGGTACTGTGTCAGATAATACAGCTCTGGACTGTACTTGCTATAATTCCATTCATCCATTTACTTCTATAAAGTCTGATGCTTCTAAATTTGTGTTTCCCAGAACATACCAGCAACGGTATGTATTATCTTGACTACATAGCGACTTTATGCAAATTAATTCGTTTGCCTTGTTGCTCACAGCTTTACCATGTTCTAGAAACCCTTCGGCCATTCATGGAGCTCTGCAAACCAAGAAATAGATAAGATTTTGAGATTTTCTATGCTCCCCTTTACCCCCGTGAGGTCTTACGTATACGTAGATGTGGACAGTTCGCTTGGGTGATAAACGAATCCTAAAGTAATTACACCCCATGTCGAGTGGAAAGAGTGTCCAATACTACTATGACGCTTTTGGGGTCGGATTTTTATCACTCGCCTAGTTCCCCATATATTCGTGTTGTGTTTAGGTGTAGACTCGGAGTATGTACTATTCAGTACTAGCTAGTACATTAGTTCCTCATTCTGACATCTTGTGACGAACTGAAGAAGTGGTCGAATACAACTAAGACCCTTCGGGACCGGCTTATTCATCGTTCACCCAATTTGCTCCTAGTATGGTGTCATAACACGCCATAGTTCGAATATAGAGACCCGGAGATCGTTCAACCGATCTTAACAATCAATCAATAATCTGATTCTATCGGATATGTTCAGTACTAGCCAGTACATTAATTCCTCATACTGACATCTTGCTCAAACCCAAGCTTACCGTATGCTGTAGTAAATTACCACTAGCAAACGATTGGCCAGACAGGAATCCACATATCTTTGTGCTTTGTATGTATGGTAAATTGGTTCATCCCGTGTATTGAAAACCGAGTATAGACAGGGTATCTCAATCTGCCCATGGGCGCATATTTATCTTCTAGTTAATCGATTATTTATCTCAATTTGGCTCTGTTGAATTTCATGCTCTCCGAATAAATACTAGTCCATACGCTTCTAGCAAGTGATGATACTTTCTTTTGCTTCCTCACGCATGCCTCGTACGCAAATTTCTCCTCCCTGCTTGCTCCGTAACAAAGATACTACTCACCCGCCATCGCTTAGCCTCCCACTGTTCGTTGCTGCCGGTTTTGTGGGCCACATTGGTCTACTGTGCCGCCGAGGTCTCTGCTTCTTCATTGGTTCAAACTGAACCCCCCTTGAGATGACCCAATGTTAAAAATTTCCCCTAACTAGCGAGACTATTCTGGTAGAATTCGGACCACTCTTATGATTCCGCCTAAACGTCTGAACTTTCTTTCTTTGCAAGAGAGCGACTATGCATGATCAACAAATGGATGTCTTAGCTGATTCTGTGCCTATTTGGAGCCCATACAGGATTGATTTCTTTCAGTTTTTGTCATCTCAGATGTCTATATTTTAACGAGTCATTAGACCAATCATATCTGCCGGGACTATATTCGGGATGTGGGCCACTGGTGGCTTCGATTGGCTCAAAATTACTTGTCAGGCATGATTTTATTTGTAGTATTCAATAACAGCATGGTGGTTCGCGATCCACAGGCTTCTACGCCCAAGATTGATCAATTATTTTACTGGGGATTGTGCACATGAGCATCATACATACATGAAATTAACTGACTCTTTCTTTGCTTGTACATAGTAACTGGTATCCACCTTCCCGGGTCCACTATGTTAGGTTGAGAGATTCTCATGTATCAGCTGATGAGAAGCGTCTCTTTAGGATGGTTAATTAATATCGAAGAAAGCTACAGTCGACTTTAGATAGACCCAGCGCGATGAAGCAAAGTAAGATAGCTTCCTCGAGTACAGAGGAACCCAGATGCGCCGTGTCGGTCCACATCCTCCGTTTAGCGTAGAAGCCTCACGTATATTCCTGACACCAACTTAGACTAATAATTTATACCGGGAAATTGTGGCCCTTGTGGGACATTCATGGCAACGATTGGTCGATCTTTCTTGTTCATTCTCTCAATAGTCACCCATACCAGATTTCAACAAATTGTCCTATGGAATGCCTGTGCATGAATCTGATTGGCTCACATTTTGTTGTACCCACCTTCCCCGTGTTCACTTAGTTATTGATGTGGATGTGTCAGGGATATACATGAAGCATACACGCTAAGTGGAGGACACGGACCCACATAGCTTATCTGGGTTCCCCTGAACGCGAGGAAGCCATCTCTCTTTTGCTTCCTCGCGCTACGTCTTGTATCTGGAGTCGACTATAGCTTTCTTTCATATTGATTATTCGCTTAGAAAACGCACTCCTCATCAACGGATATGTGAGACTTTCACACATATTCACTTAGTTCCTGGGAATTCGTTGTGGATATTGCTGACAGACCATGCAATGATTTTAGGTGTAATGGTAGGCTTTGGCTTCCACGAGCTGAAAGCCAAATTAGGCCAATCATTTCTACTGGAATTTTGTAGTACAGTGGATCACTAATCGGCTGATATTTACTTGTAGTACTGTACCCACCTTCATTGTTCACTTAGTTCCCAGCGGATCGATGTGGATATTGCCTAACGCAAAGCCGAGGCTGATGGCAAACAAGTGTTCTACGGAAATGTAATCGATCTTCGAACTCGCCCACTAACTTATAAAAGCGACTTTATTGTGAGAAGGGCGCCGTGTCAATCAGTCCTGAGCTGCACCACAACTTTTTCCTGAATGATGTTGTGTAGGTGTGGTAAGTGTCCTTTGATACACGAGGTAGACAGAGAAGAATCCTGCGGTTTAGGTAGTAGGGAGCTAGGGTTACAACATAGCATGATGTTTGCCAATTTTTGATGAGGTGGTCTTTGAATAGAGTAACGGGCTCATCATTTGTGAGTGGAATGAAATGATATGACCATCTGCCGCCTCACCTGTCGCAACAACATACGTTCCCATGGTGTTAAATGTTAGTGTGCGTCATCAGTTCTCTTCCGTGGAATCCTCACAAGTATTTAAAAGAAACCAACAGTGAGAAAAGAAGTTACATGCTGAACTACCAAGAAAAAATGCGTTGCCTGTCAGAGCTGCGTAAAAGCAATGATGAATTTATGATGAATTGTGGAATGTTTTATAATTGAAAAGCATCTTGTACTTGGGGCCTCGAATTTCGCAATGATCATTGCCTTGATTCAAGTAAAATGGCCATTTACGATGGTATGAATACACAGTCTTTCGCCAGCGGAAGATTCGATTTCAAGCACTCTCTTGTCACTCTTGGTCCAAGAACATCGAACGCTTTTTATTTTCGATAGCTACTCTTTGATATAAAATGGCCCTGAAATCATGCGATGAAATGAACTAATCTATCATATCGCTCTAGTCGAGTTTTCTAGATCGCCAATCTACTAGCACCAGATGCAAATCGAGGAAATGGGATCGGAGGTAGCGCACAGACATAGGAAACAATAACGACCGAAAGACTGGGAGCTTTTTGAAACTGGCAAGAGAATGGAGAATGTGAGGAGAAGACATAGGTAATTTGGCCGAGACAAATTGAGTTGAGATAATTCCTAAATACTTGGACCAGGTAGACCCGATCTTTTATGCCCGCAGAAAGTTCAAGACAGGTTGAAGAGCCAGTTCTCCTTTTTGCTGTGCTTCGCGAAGATGCGGGAGTAAGAATGGGATTCCCGGGTAATCTCCGTAGTATTGAAGGTATGCGGCATAGTTTTGTGTCGCATCGTAGAGAAATATCATGTCTGGTGGAACAAGAGGGACTAGAACGACCATTTCGCCAGCTGTACTCTTGAGATCGCGGAGCTGTGTAGTCGATATACTATGTTTGTGGAGACCATGCAGTATTGCCGTTGAAGAGTGGTAATTTCGTCGCTGTAAGAGGTTCTGCAGGGTCGTATTCCCCTGTCAGATATAGGGCTAAGTTCTCGCACTGTTGTTGAGAAGCGACTCACCTGTGCGCATTCTCGAAGGTATGGGGTCAAATCTGGGATTGCGGAACAGCATTCCCATACTGACATGGCTAGATCTTCCCATTTGGCTAAGAGACCCTTTGTAATCCGATCATGTGCGATGATACTTGATCGGGTCAGATGGGCGAAGTTACTCTTGTCGAGAGCAGTGAGGGTGCGAGCCAAGTCAGGTGGCGAAGATGATCCGAGACAATCTTCAAAGAAGGCATACGAAACATCGAGCTTTCTGTCCCAAGGCACCTTTGAGGTGTTGATGTACTGGCGGCGGAACCTAACAGCAAACAGATTGCAGATCTTGAGCATGTCGGTAAGACTCGCCGGTCGGTCTTGAAAGAAGCGCTGGATCGGGCCGGCAACAAATTCAAAACTACGCATGGGTTTCTCAGACAGATCTGGAGCAAAATTGGCTTGTAATGCGTATAAACATTGTGCTATCGCTCGGTGGGCGAAGGGGCTCTTTCCCCGTAGATGCTGAGGCCATATTAGTAAATGGATTTTGCTATCAGTCCCAGCAAACTGCACCTTTTCTACTTCCAAGTAGGTAGAAATACCACTAGGAAACATCCGAAGAAAGTCTAATAGGTGCATATACAAGGCTGTGTGTTGCATGAGGAACCACTCGACAGAAGTCGCCGTGTATCCCAGCGAGGCTCGCACGATGTCTTCAAAAGCGACCCTACTGAGCTGGAAATGGCTCTCGGCCTCAATAGCCTGAGAGATAGACTGCGGGTCGAGCGCATCCACTGGAGCTTGAGGTATCCAAGACCAAGGGACCGGCTGAAATGATGGAGGTCCAGATCGACGCAATATTTCCTCCACTCGTTGCATATGGGAGAGACAGTCAAGCAGCTGATGTTCACGCGGTCCAGTCAGCGCCGTAAAAATAGCATCAATTGCGTTGATATTGCGGCATAAGAGGGAACTTCGTGGTAAATTTTCATCACGAAATAGCCCGTAGCGAATAACTCGACGGATTTCGAGGTCTTTGAATGCCCAGAGAACTGTAGTAGCTTCATCTTCCCACCAGGGATAATAGGGTACCACGGGGTTTGGGAACTCATTGCCGATCTGGAAGAGGGATTGATACGACTGGGTAAGATCGGGAGACGCAGACCGTCCCGGAAGAGTTTGCGACATCCCGGGTCTGCTTAATGGCAATGATCTGTTGAGACAATATAGAACACTGGGGGTTAGTTTTCAACGTCGAAGAATCCTCCGCGCTGGTCAATTGCGTTTGTGTAGCACAAAATCCAGAGACTTCAGGGGCCAACACGTCTGATCAGACTGTAGACGAACCTCATATAGCGAGAGTAGAGGGTGGGGGAGAAAAATTCAGAACCGAACGAGGTAGAGGTAAATGTGAATGGAGGAAGAGAAAACAACTGCCAATGCCGGGTCTATCAAATGAGTTCTCCTGCGGCGTATGGTACAATATCAGTGCTTAAGTATTAGCCAACAAAACCATGCTAAACGGACACCCAGATGTTTTGTTGTCAGTAAAATCTGATTATTATAGAGCAGGCGTTCATGCCCATGGGATATTTGACTTACAAATTTCGAAAACCCTCAAATACGCCGTATTGCGGGGTGAGAAAATGACGAACCCATGGGTACAAGCCGACTACAGTCGAGACAGATTCACGGCCCTCTAAAAGCGGGGTGAAAGTTTGTTCAGGGATTTCAAAGCAACTCGGCTTCAGAGTCTAAGAGCTTGGGGTCTAGCCCAAGCTCGAGTAATGGTAAGCAGCCCTGAAGTCGTGCTGGCTTGCGCAACACTGGAACGCATAAGAATAACTAAAATTGTGGAAACTGATATATAAGGTGCGACCGACGCTTAGATAGTCATGTCTGTTTGGTGATGCTAGGTGTACGTTATAGTGGCTGGATTTGAGTTCATTCCCTGCAGCCGGTATTTTGAATCGCGAACTGGGACCGTAAGCCGCTCTTTCCCATTCTCGGAGCGCCTACATGGCTCAGCTGCTGGTGTGCCCGATCATAATACTGATCTATCTGTTGTGGGGCTGCGGCATGAACCAAGCAAAGATTTGATGCTGCTTTATATGTAAGTTCGATTGATCTACTCGTATTTTTCGAATCGATCTGGAGTGTACGGGAAGAGAAGACGCGGGAAATACTCTGATTTCAAGCGGCCCTATATCGGTTAGTGGTCGGAATCGATTTTGAATGATGGCGGGACGGACCGCGACGCGAACCCTGAACCGCCCGACCGCGACGACCGCGACGAACGCGAACATTCACCGCCCCGATTGCCGAGACCGAGGAATAATAATGCTCGGGAGCAAGAGATCGACATCCGCTTTCCAATTTGTTCAAAAATGGCTTCTACCACAGTCTTTGGCCGTTGGTTGGACATGCCCCGAGGCACTGGAGCTGCATAAGTTCTTCAAACTCTTAGCTAGAAATCGATCGAAGATCTCGTCTGAGAAACATCGTGAAAATATCACCACTGTTCAGAACCTGCGCCATTCAATCGCCGGCATCCGCCACGCTGCTGTGCACCGTATGGTTCAAGACAGCGATAGTCTGCTTTGAATGAAGTGCGCTGCCATCGAATTTTGTCCTATGCATTAGCGAGAGTCTTGATGCGGAGAGTCTTTGTCGTCTCTTCGAGTTTCTATAGAAAACCATCCCGAGATCTAGCACTATACAGAAGCAGAGACAGCAGACTACTCCATCTCATGATTCTTTGCTGGAGTTCCCTCTTTGCGAACGCCCGGACCACCGATTGCCTAAATTTCCGGACATGGCCAGAAAACTCATCGGATGCATCGAAAAGGACCTCGTTCAAGCAATGGAGAACTTTTACAGTTGAATTTCCCTGACGCCTGTCTTATTGGCCGACCGGATTTATGTTCTGGATATTATTGGATTGATGTAAGAGGCGGAACGGGGACAACATGAGCCGAAGAGCTCATTGATGAAAGGCGGCTCGGGATCTGGGCTTGGCTCTGCTTTATGAACCAATCCCGCTCTGTCGTATACCTGTCTTACGATGGGTAACAAATCACCACAATGGTTGTGATCGCAGCAGCGAGCATCGGGGATGTCATTATCCCTTATTTCATGTCCCCTTTTTCCTAGTCTGAATCGAGACAGCGATTATGGTGAGGCCTTAGCCCATGAGACAGCCTGGCTGTTCCTAAGAGCTTGAGGAAGGACATATAGGCATGAACAATGTCATACTGCCGAGTCCTCGTTCTGATAGGTGGGAAAGGACGGACGCTGTTTTGTATTTGCTTTCGCGCTGCGAGGATGGCTGGATTCCTCTACCATTATGGATTTAATTTTGACACAAAAGGCGTAGCACAATTATGTGTTTCCCTCGCATATCTCGATGCTTTCTGTGCTGCCCTCGATGAACTAACATTGAAGACTAGAATTGTCACATAAGCTTCTCCTAAAATCTCCTCCCGCCGATGTTCCAACTCGCCGCTCAAAACACAAAAGCACACTCGATCTCGTCCATAGCCTCGCTGTTTTCTAGAAGAACACTCCCATTGAAATGGTAGCCCGGGGGCAGACAATAATTTTTTTTTCCATAGTACCACTTTCCCGTTTTGCGCAAATGTGTCCGTCTTTCTCTTCATCGTTCTTCACACATCCGAATGCTTAACAGTATGTGGATCCTGTGTCGGCTCGATGTAAGGAAGAAAGGAACTGCTGTTTGCATTCTCATAAATATCGTCCCAGTCAATTGGGAAGCAAATGCCACCGATCGAACACATCATTTTTTTCCCCCATTCATCAAATGAAGGCTCGAGCACCATTCGATATACTCCCATTCCACTGAGCCACATCTCTACGGTGTCTATACCTGGTGGCCGTACTTTTTGCAAATCACGGCCCTTGGGTTGAATCATAACCTTTGCCTGAAACATCTTGTGCGCCTCTCTGTATGACATCGATGCTAAGGCAGGTGCGTGACTGTGAGCATCCGGTGGGATGCATACAATCCAGATTCGAGGCACCGGTGGATCATTGCCATGTGAAATCTCTTCAAGTAATAGCCTGCAGGGCATTGAATTCTTTCCGTTAAATTCCAAGCGCCGTGGCCGAAAATAAGGATACGGTGACGGTCTTGAATTAGCAGATCAAAGAATTGCATCGTGGGGTCGACGTTGCGCAGCGGGCTCAAATACTTGTCCCGGTTGAAAAGGGCCCCAAATTCCAAGCAAGTGCGCGACCAGAGAGACTTCGGTGGCCGTGAGTCTACTCAAGAGCAGGTCCGTGAGCCCATAGGATTCAACATTGGTCATTATCAGCTCGACCAGATATGCAATTATATTGCGATATGATCGTGGAATGGCGTACTTGAATACCCATGGTTTCGGCTTCATCTTTGGACGATGAGAAGGCGAATATGATGATACTCTTTGGTTGATTTCCCGAGGCGAACGGATGATACTGGGAGAGATTTAAAAGAGGAGAAGGGGGTGGATCTTTACAATTTTGCAGAGTTAGATCAGGGAGGAAAATACCCAGCTCTGTAAAAGGTAAAATTGAAAGACCGAGGCGACTGTAGGTGGATGGGAACCAGTGAACCTCTGACCTGCAAAAAAAAGTCCAGTGGTAATGTACTGTATAAGAGCTTCTGCAAAACTTTTGATGTCGCGAAGCAACTTAGAATGGGCGGGCATGCAGGCGATAATCGAGCTGTAAAGAGCCTTGAAATTTTTCTTCCCGATCTATAGGAAGATTGGTTATTGTCCATTGAAGTGGAGAATACGTTACTGCCAGCAGCTGGATGATTCAGCGCATACCCGATCTCCTGCCTGTTTCGTATAGTAATCGGAGTATTCTCGGAGTAGCAGCCCTGTAACACGCTAAACAACCCCTGAAATATGGCCTTCTGAGCAGTGGCCTGCAGATAGATTCAGACAATCAATCAATCGCTGAATGGTTCAATTGGCCCTCATGAGTACTAGTCGATACCGATATCCGACAATCCGACAGTTATTGTTGTAGAGGTTATTACTTCAATACATTGATACGATAATGTTTTCAAAGATTTCGCGCGGTATTGCTGTTAGCTTAAGACGATAGTTGTAATTTACCCGTTACATTGTTAGGTCAATCCCCGGAGGGCGTCCTGATACGATAAGGATACGAGTGAAGAATGTGAGATATGCCTGATATGGGTATGATGACATTCAGACTAATCGCTGGTCTTCCTAAGAAGATCCAGCTCCTCCTTTTGAGGGGATCCTCTGTGCGTATGCAAGCAGGTAAGCGAGGTGATGTATCAACAGGCGGCCCCGGTGGTGGATAGGCACCTCCTCCGCATTTCCTATACCTCACTGTACGGTTGGCGTAACATACACTCGGAAAAGATGTAGCCATTCTCTCCACATCGCCTTGTCCCCAGAATTCTTATCGCGGCGCTTGAATAGATTTGATTCAAAAAATTACGATGTATTGAAAATCCTCTGTAATCATTTGGTATCTTTACACTCCTGGGAATCGGAATGTGGAGCCCCGATGATCTTTGCTCAAGGTGAAGGCAGCCGAATGACCCCATCAATCCACCCCGACCTATCTAATGGTCTAGACCGACAGCGACGAGCGCCACTCCTGTACCGACATGAGCGACTGCAGTATTTCTGGGAGCTGTGCTGGAGGCTCAGGGGCTCAGAACCACTCGTATTCGACTAACCACTTCGGGCGGCGCACGGGGTCAGCGATCATGCATTCATGCAAATGATGCAGAATCTATGGATCGGTATATCTATGACCTTGTCGCCTGGCCCTGAATTATGATCCCCAGTCTTCCAAGATGAACATGGACGGCATATCGCAGACTAGCGATGGCAGTCAGAAAGGTTTGTTCTGCCACCATCATCACACTCACAATCGTTTTCTACCTTTTGCTAACCAAGGCCAATCATACTTCGGCCATCAACAGAACGCCTTCGTCTTCATCCTTGGGCACAGCCTCTACAAAGCTTGATGCCTCCATGGATGTCCTGGGCGACGACGCCAACCGAGAGACAGAAAAGGTACAGTCTAAGAAGAGGGATTAGCGCAGGAACGAATTCCAACAGCTTGTCCTTCAAGGAATCGATAAGCATCAATTGCATAGTGTTGAGCTCGCTACGAGCGGCAATATAGATACCGAACCGGAGACAACAAATACTTCTTCAAGCGCGGGGAATTCTGCTCCAAATTGGGGGATAGGCTTGGGTCAAATATTGAACAAAGGCCCTTCGAAAATTGCTATAGACTTATCACAAAGAAGTCTCGAGAAACGAGAAAGGTCCCTTTTTATGATTTCGTTCGGAAAGCGTTGGGTCTACCCTCTGAGCGAATCAAGACATTTCTTTGGACATATGAAGTCCTCGGTGCCAAACTTTACTTTGATTTGATCAAGGCCCCGATGCATCTCAGCCAATTGCTTGGTCTTAAACAGGTATTTTGTTTTTCTGCTCGTTATGATCTATCTATGGGTCTTCTAATCATACATAGAGCTTGATAAGATCTCAAAGCGACCCTTTCATCCATGCTACCATCGAATACACTTGGCGGAAGGCAGGCCGAGCAGTACTCCAAAGGCTGGAATGTGACTGCCTAGAGGGAGCTAAAGCAGACATTTTAGCTCTCACGCTGGAGGCATATCTAGACAAATTGATAACCCTGTCCCTACAGGAGGTCTTGGAGAAAGCAGACTCGGCCCAAGGGATATTGCAGGACTTCCAGGTTTTGAAAATTCGGTTGCAAAATTCTTTAAACCCGCTTGAGGTGGACTGGAGCTCGCCACTCGACAATATAAATGCATTCCTAGAGCAGTTGCAATGGAACGACGTCCCAGCTCTCGCGGAACTCGTATCGAGCAAAGATGTTGCTCTGCTTAGAGAATATGCGCAAACCGCATTTGCCGATGATGGGGCCCAGGCGCGTTCCATCTTGGGCTTCCGATGGAATCAGCTGATGACTGAGGTGAAACAGTGCATGGCTGCTGAGATCGGGCTGGAATCTCAGATTGATAGCCTTGATCAGGTGTTTTTAAACGGACCTACCTTCGGTCCCAGCTCTGACGGATAAGCTTTTGCAGACTTTCCACAACATTCGCAACTATTATTCTTTGACAGCTGTGGTACAAGGTATCCAGGCAAGTGGTTTGCAAACAAAGTGCTCAACAAAGTACGGCAAGCTTGTCGACCCCACCGGTGGCTACCAAGCTTATCGTAAGAACACGGCTGAGAGCCCTTCGCTGCATTTTCTGTTGCCAGCACTGTCTGCATTGGCGCGCAATGATTTGAGCTATGCAGGAGTAGTGTCGGCGGATATTGCACTATACGTCGAAGAGCATTGTTATCCTTAGTCCGAAATGCGCCTTGAGCACGGAGCTGCTCCGGAAGTCTATGGGCATCTGGGCTTCCCATGGGGAAAAGAGAAGTCGTTTAATAAATCCACCATTTGGACCCTTTTGACTGCCAGCTTCAGGTGCTAGAGCAAAAACTGAATGCACAGCCTCGCAGCGTTGTTTAGGTACAATTTCATATGTTCCGCAAGCATGAATGTAGGTATCACAGATACATGAAGCTACATATAAATTAGATATTAAGCTGTTTCTGGCTATCTGAAATTTCCAGCGCCATGAACCTTTTTTCCAGTGTTAGCATTGAAATTACACCCTTTTTCAATTGAGCGGGAGTACCTCTTCTTGGTCTTGAAGACGTAGGCAGTCCTCAGATATCGCTCATTCGTCCAGCGTCCCGGTTTGTCATGTCCAGGAGGCAACTCTTCAATTTCGGAAAGCCCCATCGCGATGAGGTATGTAGGAAGGAAAGTGGCGGGGACTTTTGATAGCAGGCTCATATGCGTTTGATCGCTTTTTTCCCAACAGTGGCGGTCGAAATCTACCATCTTATTGAAATACTGCCCATCTTCGTCCACACACTCGGGACACACGTGAGTCATTCCTGTTGAAACTGCAATTTGCAGATAGATCTGGATCTTGGATTGCACAAAGTCCTCTGCTTGGGATGCTATATTTGAGACAACAACGTCTCTTGTAAACGCAACGATTCGCTCGCGTGGCAGGTCGAGTTTGGGGTCCTTGTCTGTTGGTTTCCATCCTATGACTATTTCGTAGCTGTATCGGAACTCTGCCTCCTCCCGTTCGGAAAGCCCTTTGTGATCTTCAGCTTCCTTCATCTGTTTCAGGTGATTTCTCAAGTCGCTGGCCTGGGAATTTGACTTGAAGCAGGCCGGACAGACGTAGTTTTTGCCCGCTTTGATGAGCATGCCTTCCAATATGGAAGCTTTGCGTTCGTCATTCGACATAGTGCGAGGGAAGAAAGCCTTGGAGATCTTAGTTATGGAAGAAAAAGCCTTTGATAAATGCTGTTGGTACTCTAATTAAGCCGTCAAGATATAATGCCAGTATCTCGGACACTTGCTCCATTGGGTCCAACTATTCATGGCCTTCGCTTGGACGTGCCGGTCAACATCCTCGATAATTTGCAGTGGGTGCCGTATCGTGCATGCTAATTTCAAACAGATATGTGCGTCAAAATATTTGCCAGATAATGGAACACGAAAGCTCTTGTTGCTGGATTTCAGGCTAACGAGGGTGCTGATGCGCATTCTCCAGCGGTAACTAAGCGTTCAAGGTCTGGGGAACGATGAAATCATGAGCTACGCGAGAGATCTTTGGGACTAGTCTTGCAATCAAAATATTCCTTGCGACTGAGAGATTGAGATTCACTTGTAACCGTATTTCCTTTGCTAACATACATCCTTCTCTAGTTGGCCCAACTGTTCACCTTGTTTCGAGCTCTGTCTGTGGTTCTCTTAGTCAAACTTGCTTCCAACTTCATTGAGCCGAAGAAATGCACATTTCTTCCTTTCCTCAGACTCTGACGCCAATTCTGCCATGGAATTTATTGCATTCTCCCGACTAATTCTCTTTTCCTGAAATATATGGGCTAGCTTTTGCAGCTTCTGGCAGGGCCATTGAGCCTTTACCACCGCTGCCATCGCTTCTGCTCCGATTGCTTCATAGTCTTCCCAGAAGCAAGTTTCAGGCCATTTATTTCGCCAAAAGTGAACCATGACTTGTTCAATACCACATTCAGCTCCCACAAAAATGATAGTCTGTTCTTGGGATGAGTTTACGCAACCGGTTTTTCATCGGATCACTCACGTCTTTCTTTCGGTTGTTGCGATCAGCTGTACCACCCCAGAATTTCAGATATTGCAGGCCACTGATATGCAACATGATTGTTACGGAACAACTTCGTAGTAGGTGATAAGGTTAATGCATGAGAATATGAGACATCGAGATCTTTGGTTAGATAAAAGAATTATAGAAACTTGTGGTCGTTGTTTTAGAATATTGTTTCGGTCGGGCGACCCGTGTTAACTTATAGTAATTGAACATTTACGTTAGGACTTCTAGAGCTTCGAAATCATGCGAGTGGCGATCGGGACCGTAAAGTTTCTCATTTGGGATGTAAAATGATGATAAAAAAACCTTTAATTACGCCGCTTTGCGGGGCTGGCTGGGGAACACCTGCTCCTGCAAACATCAAGCCCTGCATCGCTAGTCACCGACGATCGCCATGCCTAGGCTTGTGATTGTGGGGCTCAAGAGATCGTAACTAATCGCCCGAAGCCAGTAACAGGTCATACTCCAAATTCTTGGGTCGAATCCACTTCCAGATAGTTAGGACCAATCACTGACTCGCCTCTTGGCTTACTCACTTTGTTTCCATTTCAAGACGAACTCCAGCCGGAAACACTCATGGAAGGAGTACGCGCCCTTTCGACCCCTACCCAAAGGCAATTCTTCCTCCGGTACTGTTGCCTTGAGAGCAGTAAAATAATGAGGAAGAAACAATTGGAAATCCGGGCCCTTGTACGCGAGGCCCGTGTGGACATCGTCTTTCAGTTGGTCGCAATGGTAATAAAACGCTTTTGTAGTGCTGCAGAGAACCAAACAGAGTGGACAAACATAATCCTTTTTAGCATTCCTGACAACTTCCCACACAATTGCAAGACTCCTATCCAAGGTGTTGAATTTGAGCTGGCCTTTTTTTTCCAGGACAAAATCGACTTCAAAGAAAGTGTAGAATGGCCGACGTCCAGGTCGTCGTCCCGTCTGATTGAATTTGATTGGAAAATCATCTTTTGAGATGGTTTCCCAACCCATAGCTGTCCTATAGCGATCCAAAAATAGGATAAAATCTCCCTCTCTCTTGGACAAACCATTGTGGACGCCGTTGTGATCCTCCTCGGTGTCAAAATGCTTGTATAGCACATCCTGGTCGCGAAACCCCAGATCACATACAACGCAGACGAGCCCCAGCCCTGAGCTCTTCGCTACGTCTCTTAGGACGCAATACTTTCTCAGGGTATCGTACATCTTGGAGTTGTAGCTATGGCCAGCCAATATCGGAACAAGATAGGAGTGAGTATATTCCTCTTGGGCGTTGAGGGATAATATACTGATTTGATCGTATCTACGTATATTCAATCAGGACGAGGTCATTTATATGGATGACGCCAAAAGATAAACACGGACTTATGCTAGATCTCGTAACTGAATAGTATGTATATGCTCGTTGTTCGTTTGTCGTTTGCAAGAAAGAGTCAATTGGCACACTTCACCTGGCTGGCCACTACTCCGCCGTAAAAACATTCTGGAAGCTTTCATCTCAGGTTCCTCTGAAAATACTTAATACACAGCTTATTGAATTTCAACCTAGATGCTGCTTCTAAGTCTTCCTAACTTAAAAACAGCATTCAAGATGAAATATGCATTGGTGAGTTGAAGAGTCGAGCAGATCACCAAAATATGTACAATTGACTGTCCAACATTGTATGATCTTTACCGGCCGGTAACTCACAGCTTCCATCACAATTCACTGGTCGGTTTGGTCGCTACCCTATCGAAAGACAGCCAATGGGCTGCGTCTAACCTGCCGCAATGGATCGCAAATCGTCGAAGAAACTCTTGACCATGTCCGGGATATGGGATTGGGAAATTTTTTGCCAAAATCCAGTCCAAAGCGGAATCGGGTTCCGGGTGAAAGAGAAGAAAGTCTTGCGGAGGTAGGCAATTGTTCATCAAAAGCCAGTCCAAAAGAGATGTTGGTTCCAAATGATAGCGAATCATCTCAAGCCAAAGAGAAGAATCTTTCTTCACCACATCAGCAAGATCTATACCTCTATGACACAAACGAGAGGCTAGGCTCATGCTTGCAAATCGGCAAATGCTGCGGATTTCATCTTCCTGGAGAATCTCTCCCAAATCCAAAGGCATTTGGTCAATCTTTTCCCAACAGATACCAAACACAACCGAGTTCGTCGCCGCTAGTTGAAGAATTGACCTCCCATCCCACATTTCTGCCACCGATGCAGGAGCAAGAAGATGTAGCGGACTCATCGTGGAAATCATGTAACCAATCGTTTCGATGGCGTTTTTCTGAAAGGCAAGAAGGAAGAGGCTGTGCCCAAAGCGGTTGTAGTAGCATGATCGAATAATGCCTTGTCGGACCAGAAAGTGGAAGGCACTCGGAGACTCATAGACGCAACACGAAGCAAGATCCGGATGTGCAGGCTCGCTTTGAAGGCATTCCTGGCTGTCCACAACTTGATCAAAGTCGGGAAAAAGTTTCCAATGGGCGAGAGCAGACTTGCGAACCCAGTCGCTTTGTAGAAAAATGTCCAAGTCAAAGCGAAGATCGGGATCGGCCTGTTCATAGTATCTCAGGATATGATGCAGCGTCTGCTTCGATTTGAATGTGTCGGAGCAGAAGAGGCAGTGAATGTGTGACATAAACCACCCATAGCTGCGAGATCCTTTGTCAATTTGAACCTTTTCCTCGTTGAAGAATTGGTCGGTGATCTCCATGGAGCGATATCAAGTACAGAGGGAAGAGGGAATAGTAGATAGATAGATGACTCCCTGTCCCAGAGGGGATCATTTCATTTAAGCTAATTACCGACCTAGCTCATATTCCCGGATTTAGACGTTGGATTTCGTCTTGGCTGCAGCTTTGCCGCCAGGAACATGTGCGGACATAAGCTTCTCGTATCATCTGCCCAAGTTATCGAGCTCATCTTCGATATTAAATCTGAACTTGGGCGCCTTGCGCCATGTTTCAATAACACACAGGACTATTCAGAGTTACGACCGTTTTCTCGATTTTAATTTCTCCACCAAACATCTTTGCTGTCTCCGATACTTTGATTTCGTGCGTCGCATGCCCATTTCGTGTGAGAAGCCTTTGTTGGACTTTCTGATTTATCGTGTCACTTTTGAAATAGATGGCCCAGTCTGATCCATTGTTGATCTAGGCGTTTTAGTCAAAGATCATCCAAAGGGCATTTTATTACATACCAGAAAAGGGTTCAGCTGCCCTAGAGCAAGCCTTGCTGAAATGGATAACGTAGAGATACTCATTGTTTTGTTTGTAGATACGTTCTGGATGGTTGATAGCAGTGACAGGGAATCGGTGGATGGAACTGTTTATATTTAAATGAGTGCTCTATGAGATCTTCAGTCTTTCGTAAATTGGAAACTAGATTTTAATCGGTAACATACCAAGCCATAACTTGCTTTCTGGCTATGTGGGGAAAAAGAGAGGGGGTCTGAGCAACCCACTGTTTCAAATGAGGAAAGCCTCAGGTACAGAAGGGTGATCCGCAACTATAATCCCAAATATACATCCAATTGTGCGCTTACTGGAAATCAACTTGCAATTTCAAGCCCCAGGCCATTCTATGAGTTTTCAATAACTCTAAGCCTTGATACAAATGTAATAGAAAGAATATTGATAGGCTTTGGAATTTCGCTACCATAGACCTGTCAAACGAGCATGGTAACACCTAAGGAAACCGCCCACCCTCAATGGGCCATTTGATTTATGAAAATAGCGGTGAGATTCCATTTTGTGGTACAATAATAGTGTGCTTCCATGGTAAAAGTTCTTCTTTGGGGGCACAGAGGAGGTGATCTAGTTCTGGGGATCAAGACTCATTGCTTCCAATTCCATTTTTTGTCGCTCAAGCTCCTGAATACGTCGGTCCTTTCCCATGATAATATCGCGGAGAGAGTCTGCCTCCATTTGTAGGAAATTGTCACGCGAAAAGCATGTAGCTGGGTCGCGATCGTCGTGCGGTCCGAGAGAAGCGTTCTTTGGGGTACTAGGCTCGGCATATACGTTTTCCACTAATTCGAGGTAGCTGTTGGCCTCCAATTTATGCATCCGCCGAATATGCTCTCGCAAGTTCTCGGCTCTTGCGAAAGGCTCGGAAACATGGCGACGGCATCCCTCAGATGGACAAAATTCAGAGTACCTGGGCTTTCTGCCGCTGTCGTGGACTTCTCGTTTATGGCGCAGAAAGTCGCCACTCGAGACAAAGCCTGGCTTGTCTTTGCAACTAGACTCGGAACATCTGTAGGGTCGCTCATGTCTGTCCATGTGTTTGCTGATTCAAGAGTCAGCTCCGAGATCTGACGTTCTTTCGAGGCAGCAGAATACATACTTCCATTGAGATGGAACGCGGAAGGTCGGCGGATCATCTTGGCAGTCAACGTGTTCACAGATAATGTCTCCGTTGCCATTTCGTGGAGGCTCTTGGTTTCGTCGAACAGTGGTGCTACGACGATAGTGATTTCCCTCTGGGGGTATTAAATCGCTCATTTGGAGCTCCAGCAGAAGGAAAGCTAATCTTGGAATGCGATAATAATGAACCCGGGAAAGGTCCCCGGTAATATATTTTCTGAAGATGGGGGCACTGATCTTATGGATCGACGGTATGAGATATGTGAAGATGAGATTCCAACTAATTTGGCCTTTCTTAAACACAAAGTCCGATTTAGTGACTCTATATGGTTGCATTAGAAAAAGAATTTAGGTACTTTTGTGAAAAAGAAAAAAAGAAAGCTGATCTCAACCCTTTTCTGAGGTTTTATTTTACAAGTCCCAGGAGCAAATTGGCTGCACTCATTTCCAGAACGTTTTGGTTATCAACCGAATGCCATCATTTCAAACTAGTGGTTATATCAAAGAATGATGCAGGCCCAAGTATCATTTCCTCTCTTCTTTCTCAGAAAAGATAGCAGTGTTTTTATTTCGATGAGCTACTAGATATTATAAAAGCGGAAGGGTAATAAGCTAAGGGTCAAATAAGAGCTTTTGTTATGAAGTATGAAAGAAAGTATGACCTTTCATAATAGAAGACATTGTCCGCCAGTCTTCCTAAAATCATCCTAACGTAGCCTAGATAGATTCTACGAGCTCCAATAAGTGGTCGGTCAATTAATTTCCGTCGTGTACCAGGAAGACGCCAAGAATGGAGGGCATCGCCCGCGAAGCGGTAGAAATCCTTCCAGAAGGGGTTTACAAGGATTTTCACACATTTCAAGTCCAGTCCGTCTTCATTGCCGCTCAAGAACTTCTCGACAAGCCGTATAGGCTCACGCATTTGCTTAGGTGAATAATACTAACGGATATCTAGAAAACGAGAAAGATATATCTACTGTTAGAGGTATTCCATGTTGTAAAATGCTGATCGAGGTGAGGGTCGCGCGGTACATACTTGAATCTGTTGTGTAACCTCTGAACGCACCATTACCAAAAGAGTTTAGATTCAAGGTCATACAAGTGACCTTGAATCTAAACTCGTTTGGGGGCTGCACGGACGAATTTGGTCATAAATACACGAGTCGAACCTGCCCCACTTCGAAGTTGAGATCTCCCGTCGCCTTACAATGGCCATGTTGGAAGACCTGAACGAAAAATTGACTTCCTCACTCACAACAGTATCACCTTCCTTTGTGTTATCTCAGGTAAAGAGCCCCAGGATTGCCTTCTTTGGATAACCTTTTTATTAATGTCCAGCCATAGGGTTGGGAGCAGCTATTCAAAGATTTTTTTGCTAAAGGAACAAGAGATGAAGCGCTCCAGTTACTGCCGAAGAAGTATCAGCAAGTAGAATATCGGGATAATCCGACAAGCCAGGTCGCCACTCAACCAAGTCAAGCTTATTGCCAGGCTTTTGAATCCGTCCTCAACCATGACACCACCCCAACAGCCGAGCAAAGTAATGTGCAGGATTCGACAAGCACACGGGAGGAGCCTCCGACGGCCAGAACCACCCCCAGTTTATCTCTCCGCAGTCCAGAGTCTACATCGCAAGCAGACCTTGAGAATCGAATTCTGGTTTCCAGTTTCTCTATTTCCGAACCAAATATTAAATCATCCACGAGGGTGTCCCGCGCAATCCAGGCAATGAGTAATTCCAAAAAGCAAGATCCAGATTATTACGATGCAACATGGAGCGGAACCAGTGATTTTATTGATTACTCTACCATCGAGGAGACAGCGATGGGAAGATATCGGCGAATCCAAGGCCTGCAGTCTCAGGAATGGGGAGAGGGAGATATGGTCAAATATGCGCAGCGCTTTAGCCTTGTCATAGGCGCACAGGAGTTACAGGTCATCGAAAAAGGCCTATCGTCAACTGCATGCTCTAGAGGCATATCTCTACGATCTCTTGCAATCAACAGACTGGCAGAATTCCTTCAGGTTGATAGAAAGCGAATTTTGGATGAAAACAAACGGCGTGTCCACTACGTTTCCATCCTGGAGAAATTTGGACCCGGTGCACTTTTACTTCTTGGTGAAATCGATGGCATACTTTCCCTGTAAGTAAGCCTGAGCTCAGGAACTACGCATTTTCATCCCCACTCACAGTTATTAGTTGGGAGAGGCATTTGACGACCGGTGATGTGGATACCGTATGCGAATATACGGCAAAAAACCTTGAAGGTTGGGTAGCACACGGCAGGAAACTGAATGAGAAGGCCGCGAATTTGATCGTGAGAGGTCTTCGGGCTTGCGGGTGGGATGGAATCTCAAACTGGGATACCACATTCATGACACATCTGGCCAAATATCTGAAAGGTTCTGATGCTCAAGAGTCCGACAGACCCCAGTCAAGAAAACGAAGGCAATCTTATTCAGAGGAATTTTCAAAGCGCCACCACCATGACAGAAATCTAGACTTCGTTGACGACCGTACGGCTACCCCTGATGAGGAGACTGTCAGAATCGCAAATAATGAAAATTCATTTTGCGAGGATCGACTCAATGATACATTGCTGGACTGGGATTTTGATGTAAATTTGAGCTTGGATTGGGACCAATTTATTGAGGACCAGATAACGGAAGCTTTGAGTGATTGATTGTTACATGTCAAATTCTCAACATCTCCTTCCTCTGTGTAACTCAATAACTGTTCACTGTAGGCATGGGAATGAGAGCACAAGGAACACCCCGCCGCCACCTGGTGAATGGAAATATACAAGATCGCCCCGCCAAGCAACTGCATCTCCCGGTTGTAGCTCAAGTGCCACTTTATTTCCCAGCCGCGATCTTTCTTGATGAGAGCCCTCGTAGAACGTGAACCACCCATTTGATGGCGAGAGACTCGTGATCGCTATTGTTACATAAATTCGGGGTCCGGCAGTCATCAATTTCGTGGGGTCCGCTTCCGTCTCATGGAAAATTCCAAGATTGACGGTCTGTGGCGAGGAGGGAATTGCATTTGGGTAAAATAAAGGGCGTATTGATTCGCGATTCACCCCCTAACGAAAGTTAGCGAAAATCTAGTAAAAGTTAAATGTGAGTATGGCACCCTGAGAAACTCATCCTTTATCCCGAATCCGGAGTCGGGTACTTTATACTCATTGTATTTATCCTTTACAGCTGTCGGCTCGTTGTTTGGTAGGCCGTTTCGGAATTCACTTGCAAGATTCGAGATGTTTTCTGCTGGCACTGCCTTCCTCAACACGACGAAGCCGGTCGAGCTAGCCATGCTTGAGTTGCGAGGGGGTGGACTCCGTCTATACACGATAATAAGCTTCGAGAAAGATAATAGAGAATCATTCCACATACCTGGCTATTCAGAGTTGGCAGTGTCACCGTTTTACGTTGAAGATGTCTAGCACACTTTCAGATAGCAGCGCAACCCCGCCGCGGGGCGACTCTTGATCGCCCAACTTGCTGACTAATTGATACGTGTCGACGAAAGAGGGTCGCAGTTTTACTAGTGCGCCCGAGGAATATTTAGCACCCCCATATGCCTCCTGTTTTCAACCATGTTTGCATCACTCTAAACGATCTTACTAAGCCCACATCGCATATATTCTGTACTTTCCATAGTATTCAAAATAAAACACACTCAAATACTCAATTGGCTATGCCCGTACTAGTCCGTACTGTAACGACAACGTTCCGACAATACGCCGACAGGTACCCACGTGATCTGATCATTTGACATAACTTAGGAGGAAGGGTGAAAGGGAGCATGTCAGGCGTAGTCAGCATCGAGGCGGTGAATTCATACGGGGTGACGCGTCGTTCATGAGTCGCGTGGGACGCTTCGGCGGCTAGTTCGAAGTCAACAAACACGTCTCCTCCATCTGGTATCAAAGAAAACCTTGCATTTTTGAAATTCAGAAAGAGTAATTATGACATCCGCAGCAAATTACTTACCTTGAGCACCGCAAGTCTACTTCTGCTGGAGAGTCCGTGCACTCGGTGGTGACATTGATGAGAAGTGGGTGTTGCGTCGGAGCATTCGGCTGGATTGTGCATAGCATAGTCCGGCGAGAAATGGTCATATTTATACCAGCGATTTGGCAACATGGTCAGTCGGTTACCCAAAACTTTCAGTGATTAGAACAAATTACCAACTTCATTTAAGCTGGCTATGGTGGCAGCTTTGAATAGCCCTCTGCATTGGGACACGACACGACCAAAGCAATTTGTCGTTAGATACACTCGGTCTAGAACCAATTACCAGCAGCTTGCGTAGGCTGGTCGTTTGCAACTCACCGTGCTCGTGGTCTAGGTGGGATTCCTTATACCAGCCACAATACACTATTCCGATCGAACTCGTGGGAACGGCCGAACCAGGGCTGTGTTTCACTGCCCCTCCATGTCATTATGATTTCCGCTGAATGAGAGAGCTACAGACTTGCCGTCAATCTAGTCTGGCATCCGAATAGGCAGACCAGAGACGAGGTCGCGGCTTCGATTCGATTACACATGCACAAGGGCCTGAAACATTCCGTACCGCGGGGAATAGATGTCGGTCATATCTTCCAATGCATAGCTGTTTCTTTGCTGTTCGTGCGCTGGGCAAATATTCAACAATGTCAGGTCAACGTATCACTGGGGGGATATTGATAGTATTTGGCCTAGAGGTAAACTTGGAACTGACCTGAAACGACTGCTCTCGCGGCGAGAGATATGGGCTAGACCTATTGCTGCAACCTGGCTTGTCGCTTGCTCGGCTACAACCGGGCCTGACAACTATCCCTCACACTGTAGCGGGAAGCTCAATTCTTTACTGGTTGAAACCATTCTCGGAGAGATCATGATCGTCCTCAGTGGTCGCCGATGCTTGGCTTCTCTTCGTTATCGCTGGATGCTGCGATAGCTCACTCAGCCTAGCATGAGGCCAGATGATGCTGTCGTCGAGGCTTCAAATCGGATATGGGACAAGAGGTGCAGGGCCGTCGGGATACAGAAGCTAAACAATAAGAGTAAACTTTCGGACGGACAGGATGAAGCCGGGAGAGATAAAAACATGTTGGAACTCTACCATATGCTGACCGAAGGGCACTGAACCTTCTTAGATTTGTTCCATCAACGTGGGCGAAATGGAAATTTCAAGCAGATGCCCTGGAACAGCGAAGTAGAAACGCACCGGGGTTCACTGGTCCGGCCCGACGTGTGTCTTTATTTTGAGGTCAATGGGGAAGTACGGCTCGGTGGTGGTGAGTGTCATTTTGGCATTTGCTCTATGACCAGAAAGAGGCATCAGCGACCTGTTCGGATGGATGGAGAGTACGTCAAAAAATTGAAGAAATCCGCACGAAATCCATAATTGCAGCCCGGCCATAGGAAAATAGGCAGAGGCAATGCACCGGAGGAACTTAGAGGAGACCGAGCGACTCGTGATCGAACGTTTGCCTTTTTATATAGGGAGCCGTTAGCACAGGACGGAAACTCTTCAAATTGCCACTGATAAAAACTTACGTCGAGCTAATGCTGTTCGCTGCATTCTAGCAAGGTCGAAGCGGCTGTGTAAGGGATGACTTCGACGTATCATTATTCATCAGTAGGCAGCTTGAGAAAAAACTTTATAACTCACTGTGCTCGCAGCTTCGATCATTTTTAAGGTCATCCAAGGTCCGTAAAATGGTTTTCTAGAGTAGCGGAGGAGGACTGATCTTGAGCATGTTCCATGTCAGCCTGATTTAAAATGACCGGGCAGCTACACTCACTTGCTGTTTATAGACTTCAGCATCGAACAATGGCAGACAAGTGCGATGCAAAAGGTCAGTCCATAGCAAAGTGTTGCTAGCGAAGACGAAAAGCGATCGATATCCTTTGCCCCAAAGTGACACAGGAATGCTTGAGACCGAATGTTCTGCTGGCGAGGGCTCGCTTATTTATAGCATTACAGCCAGACATTCTGCCAGCGTCGATGCGATGATCATTGTGAATTGTGAGGGCACAAACATAGGTGACTCTCCAATTGCAGCTGGCTCAACATTTCATCATTGATTTAATGCAGCATTCGAAGGCATTGTATTTTTTTTTCTGATGATCCAGCATATGAAATGTTTTACTCACCATTGGTCTCGATTAAACTGTCGCGAAAATGCCGTAGAGAAGCACTGATGCTGAATATCAACATTCATCACTATGGTTATTACGAAAGGTGAGGCGGCGACCGGTCATGCCGTTTAATTCCACTCACCGATTATAAGCGCCTTTTTCACTCAAAAACGCCCCATCAATATTTTATACCACTAGTTCCTTACCTATTTGGCATACATACTTCTTCACCGGGGAGCCCCTTGTCATTGAGACCTACAGTCTAAGTCAGTCGGGAATGGCTATTTCAAATTATCATCTTAGTGGATTCCAAGAGGGTACAGTACATGGGGCTTTTCATTGCACATTACGCAACGGACTTCGATTGGCAAGCCTTGGAGGTACACCAAGGGCAAGGTGGTCAACTGATTTTCCAAGTGAATCATCATGTCGATTGTGTTTCCGTAGGACAATTGACTGCCATCAGCCGCGTCTTTGCAAAGGCAATACCCACACGAACCTCCTGGGAACTTAAAGGAAAAGGAAAGGTGGGTATCGCGACAACGAAATATGAGCCAATTAATGCTATGAAAGGCCCACATGCGCCCAAGCCTTCAGTCAGATGATTGGATGGCTCCTAGCGCTGGCTCCTAGGATCCAGTGGGTCGTCGAGATTAATGCTATCATGTACTACGAATACAATGAGATCTACCTAGGCAAATATTGGTGCCATCAATGACCCAGATACACCACACAGCCTCAGGCAGAAATAATTGGTCCTAGTTTAGCCGTGAGCTCCTAGGAGCGTGTGGCTTATTGTATTCCTCTGCTATCATGGGATAGCGATCGGCGGGGTGATGGTTCGTGTTGGTCTGGCGTGTTTGTGTCGTTAATCACTGGTGAAAGGGGAGATTCACAGCTTGTCTCAACGGGCTTATTTTGTTATTGCAACAAGTGTAGAACATTCGCACGACTGCTTCGGGGTGCTCAGGAAAGGCATACTGTATGTACGCTGGTGGTTGCGGATCACTCAGTCG